ACAAGACAGTAAACAATAAGACCTTTGAAATCAAACGGGCTAAGTTTCACACTCCAGCCCTTCCACTAACCAGAACCTTAAAGATGTTACTTTAATTAAACCCTCTCAGTCTTCATTTCATCCATGAAATGGATACAATAGCAATAACCACACAGAGTCACTGAAGGGATAGAGCAAGGTAACGTGAAGAAACTGAGGCAGACTAGAACTGAAATACTGAACTTCCCAGGCTTTCTTGCAGTTAGACATGCCCATGTGACTCAGTCCTGACCAAGGACACATAAGCAGTAATCTGTGCAAGTTTCCTCCTTCTTTCTACTAGGACCTGGACTAAAACTAGGAGGTTCCTTGGCCATCAACTAAGGAGGTTTGAGCAGGAAGACAGCAGCCTGGAAGCTCGATGGCACTGTATAGCCATCATCCAGCCCTGAACTACCCACCTCCTAATTCTTTATTGCTTGAGATAAATAAGCACCTATTTGGTGAAGCCCCTGTGTCAGAAGATTCTGTTATAAAGCAGCCAATGAAAGCCTAATAAAAAACAACAGAAGTCTGGCAAAAACCTGTGCCCACCAAACATTAGTCCCCTTAGTTTCCATCCAATCAAAAAGATGTATTTGGGGAAATAATTACAATAATATCCATAAGTAAAAACAAAAACAGAAACAAAAAACAAAGAAAAACGACTAAATTCTGTAGATTATATAGTGTGAGCCAATTTAATTAGAAAAAAAAAAAAGAAAGCTCCTATGAGATTCAGGGGTATCCAGGAGCTCAGAGAATTCTATTAAGCACATTACTGTGAAGGGGAAAAAAAATGTGTATTTTCATTTTAACGAGACTATTTTGGCAAACTACTTCAAAACGTCCTGCTGGGTTTCCCACAGGCCAAAGACACTATGGGTGCAGGCTCAGTGGAACATGACAGGGAGCCTACAGCCAACCTAAGAAGCTGAAACGCGTGCCCATGTGGGGTGCATTCATGATGGTTTGTGATTCTTTACATATGGCCTTGGGTGAACATTCTGAGGAAAAATGACTAGTCTAGTTTGCAATTTATATCACAATATAAGAAAATGGAGAGCCAACCGTGTTTTTATTACACAAAAGGAAATATTTTTCAAATTATATCAGCACAGTTGTGGCTCCTAACATTCCTGCTACTCTTTCACTCATTCCCAAGGAAATGTATGCTTTTCCCGAGCAATATATCTTAAGCCAAAATAGAGTTTATTCAGTAATTCTTGCAAACACTAGACCATGCAGGTTTAAAAAGGCCAGCCCCCGGCTAGGCAGGAAAGAACTAATCTTAACCCAGGGGATTTGGTAGTCTCAAAATGGGAACACTTATACCATCCACTGTCCTCTCCAAACACACACACACACACACACACACACACACACACACACACACACACACAC